CTCCCAAGGCGTTAAACGCTATATACGAGAGATATTATTATATTTTTTACTTTGTTTGATAGAAAATGACATAGTATATGTCAAATTTTGACATATTGAATTAAAAAAAAAATATTTGTAATTTCAATTCAGGAGCATTTTATCAAGGAGCGTTGGAAAAATAGATTTGATTTTATAATGTTTTTCGTGTCTTTTCCTGGCCGGTTAAAAAATGCCTAAATCGTATCTTTAATCATACTTTATTTTTTTTTCAAGTGGCACAGGGCGGCTCTTTAACATATTTGGAGAGATATTTTTTACGAATAATTTGGGAATACTTGGTATTTTGATTCAAATTGTCGTTATATCGGGTGCGTCTCAAAAGTGGCTCACCCCCTATAACTTTTTTATTTTTTCAGATAAAACAACGATATTTGGTATGTTAGTATATGACATAAATTGGGATTGATTGACGTATTCAATTGTTTTCGGTCACTTCCGGTTGCACCGGAAATGACTACAACTTTTGATTTTTAAATGGCACCCTCGGTATTTTTTTACTTTATTCCATAGAAAATGACACTCTGAATCGAATGACATATCAAATGACAATGAAAGCTATTTAAATTCTTTACAAAAAGTGTATTCACCGATTTCGTGCATCAACAGGTTAACGAGATACAGGCGCTTAAATACAAAGTATATATTTTCTAGTGGTTCATTTAATACGAGAAACTGATTCTATGTAAATTTGAATAATTTGTCAGTACAAATTTATGTTTTTCTTGTGCTCGTTTCCACACCACCTGGCGGTAGAGCACTCGGCGCACTTTTTTTTAAGTGGTTTTTCCTATAGGCCTAATCCTAATCATTGTGTCTTACTTCCTTAGGCCTATTTAAAACGACGTACCGACTGGCCTACTTGTTGAGAAGGCATTTTAGGCTTGGTCACCATGTTTCTGCGCTGAAAACTCGTAAAATGGTTTATTATCATTCCCTTTGGCCATAAATTGATATTTTTTCACAAATACAATCTTTACAATTATTTTTATTATTAAGGTATTCAATTATTTTTTCACTAGATATGTCAGGGGCTATACCCAGAGAGTCATCTCTAAGAAAAAAATTGTCTTCATTAGGCTCAGGTCGGCTTTTTTTGGTTGTGCGTTTTTGTTTTGTTTATTTTTAACTTTAGTCCAGTTTTTTTTGATTTTATTGTATTGGATTTGCAATTTTTTAGCATTTCATCTTACCTTTTGCCGCTCCTTCACTATACTATATTTGCCGCTCTCTGAAGCGGAGGAACCAGCTTGCCCTTCGATTTGGATTTCGGCTATATTTTAGTGCGGTCGTGGTGGTGAAATGTTAGTGTGCTGTAGGTTATTGTCGTTGTAAGTGTAGTGTAACCCCTGGTGTTCAAAGGACGCCGTAATTTTTGACACCGTAGAAACTCTTTAGCATTATCAAACGCTATAAAAGCGTACATCAAATTTACTCCGATGCGTTATCAAACGAAACGGCTTCCATAGGCAAAAAGTATTCACGCACTTTTTTCGATCGATTCCGAAATCAGCTAATGAGTCGCTCTGAGAACGAACAGCGCGTTGAGCCTTATTTTTATCGGTTTGCGCTACTTTGGATTTGACATTTTCTAGAATTCCCGCCTTGCATCGTTTTGTGTACCTATTTTGTTTACCACCCTCAGAGTTTTTCTTTTATGTAAAAAACTTTTTCTCTTAGTAGTAGTGCGTTTGGTTCAACTTTCGTTTAGCTGAAATCTGTTATATAAAAAATGACTTTATACAGGGTGCTACAAATTCGAGGTACGATCATTGGTATCTCGGAAACCGTAAGAGATACGAAGATGGTTAAATTGGGGCAAAGTTGCGCTTTACGATGTTCACCAAGATGCGATCAAAAAAGTTTTAAAAATTTCAAGAATTGCAAAGTTTTTTGGAAAAAACGGATTTTTTGAAAATCAGCATTAAATATTTAATCTATTCATCGTTACAATATTGATAAGCTTTCAAATTTAACAATGACGTGGAGTAAAACATTGAATATGGAAAATCAAATGCAATAAAATAATAACAAATAATATAAAATTATTAGGCATTACTTGACGTGATTTGTAAAAGTGAAATTAATTCATTTCAATATTTACAATTCATTTACAATAAAGAGTACAGAAGGCATTCGGAAGTATAAGAAGAAGATATGTTCAAAGAGCTATAAATATTGAACGAAAAATACATTTGTACATTAGGGGACGGTGGTAACCCTTTCGAACATGTAGAGCATTAGAAACTAGTTTGTAGAAGTTGATTTATTTATCACTATGATTAATATTATGCATATAATTAGATCGTACACTGAGATTTAAAATTCACAATAAAAAAAGTTAAAATTGCTGACCTGGATATTATTTATTTGGATCTTTCAATTGGCTCGATTTTCCTTATTCAATGTTAATTAGCGCTGATCCATATTGTTGCGATGAATATAATTAGATTAAACAATTTAAAAAAACAGAGTCAAACTTGAAAATATTTTAAATAATAATTAAATAGTTTTGTTATTGTTAAAGTAGCTAAAACAAAACAAAGTATTAAGTGTGGCATATCATTATACTCAGGAGACAGAGTTCTTTCAAAACTTGAAATAAAAAATGCAGGTCCGTATTTAAAAAAATTAAGTTGGCCCCCGTATCTCACAAATTATCAGTTAGTTTGAAAATATAAAAAATACTATCAGATAGCCCTAATAAAGTAGCCATGAGAATGTACAATTAGTTTTTTGATTTTCTAAACAGCAACGCCAGAAAAAAATTAAAATGATTTAAAAAAAACCGTTTTTTCCAAAAAACTCAGCAATTCTTGAAATTTTTAAAACTTTTTTGATGGTATCTGGGTGAACATCCTGAAGGCGCAACTTTGCCCCAATTTAACCATCTTCGTATCTCTTACGGTTGCCGAGATACCAATGCTCGTACCTCGAATTTGTAGCAACCTGTATAATGAGTTCTAGAAGGCGTTAGGAGTACAAATATACAAAAATTTTATGTGGAAATGCGACATTTTCTTTTTTCGGACTTTAGTATAGCCGAAATCTGTTACATCAAAACTAGTCTTCGGGGTGTGTTTTAGATATTTTTCTAAACATAAAAATACAAAAAAGTGTCTGCGGAAATTTTTTATTTTTATTTTACATAAAAAAATGCTTTGACTTTAGAATAGCCGAAATCAGTTACATGAAAAACGAACTTCTATTTGTTCTATACGAGCTTTTACGAGCAAAGAAATACAAAAAAATTCCTGCGGAAAGTGTCAATGTCATTTTGTGCACTTTGTTTTTCATACATTTTTTAGTTTAGAAGCTTACGGGACCCGGGAGCGATTAGGGGTGTTGGGTGGGGTAAAACATCTTTCGGAGGAATAACAATTCTTGTAGAATAGATAATATAGGTTCTTGTAAACCTATAAGTACCTCGGAATGTTGCACTTATTCTTGTTTTTTATTAAAGCTTTACGTAAATAGGGCTGATTCAAAACAAAAAATCATTGGATCATGCAGTTTTCTTTTATATTTTAATAATTAACTGTGATTTTGCAAAAATATTATTGGATTGGTTAGGATTTGGGTTGCTTTGGTTATCTTTTCTTTGTGGAGGGTGTTAAGCTGTGGTTTTTATATTTTAATAATTAACTGTGATTTTGTAAAAATGTTATTAGATTGGTTAGCATTTTAGACACTTAAAAGTTTTAAATGATTTTTTTTTGGTTCAAAAGTGCTTCATCCAAGGATTTTTTTCTTTTAAACTGTTCTATAAGCATAGGACTTTCTGCCAAAAAAAAATGCTAAATTCGTGGGTACTTATACTTTACAAGACCCGATAATATAATAAGGAACAAATGGAAAATGAAAATCAAGCATTTCCGTAGGAAATTTTTTATTTTCCTGAGTTTGGAAACGCTTCTAAAAGGCAAAAATATATTTATTTTTTATATAACTGATTTCAGCTATTCTAAAGTCTAATAAATTTCCTTAGAAAATGAAAACAGCTTATTTCCGCAGGAAAATTTTTGTGTTTATATGTTCAGAAAAATATTAAAAATAAAACGCAAAATGTATTTTTTTTATAGCAGATTTCAGATATTCTAAAGTGCGAAATTTGGAAATTACGCATTTCCGCAGGAAAATTTGCGATTTCCATGGTTCACAGTAGCTTTTTAAAGACAATTTTTTTTCTAGTAACTGATTTCAGCTAAACGAAAGTTGACCCGTGCATTTTCTTCCAAGGTTTTATTTTTACTTTGCATTTATTTTACCGGGATTCTGAGAGAGGATCTTGCTAATTAACACCACAAACTAAGGCTATTTCCTTGTTTTTTTTTCAATTATAGTCTGGTTTGGGTTATCTGGAGTCTTGGACATAATTACTGCGTTTTTGTTGGAAAACTGATTGCTTCAAACATGCTGGATGGAAAAGACAACCACGCTGTTTACATTTCTAATCATTTTTCAGTTTTTTATTACAGTGAAATCATACGTAAAAGTATCTGTACCTCTGTGGCCGAATCATCTCTTCAAAATAGTTCTCTGAGCATTTCGCTACTTGCACTCTTAGAAAATCAACAAAATAAAACAAAAACCAACTTGTTGAATAGTTGTATTTAGATATTTTAAATAGTTTTTTCTTTGTTCTTTGTGTTTTTTGCTTTCAACGACGGGTGGAGATATACTTCCCGAAACGTTAAGCATTTTTTGTCCGTGAGGCAAATGGTTTATTAGCAAATTACCGTTGACAAGTTGGTCTCTTCAACCAATTTTAGAAGCTGCAGTAATTCTCGGTAGTTTTTTAATTACCCTGTAAAAAATATTTCTTCTCTACTTGCAATAAATATTTTTTAGTTCACACTTCATTTTGGAAGAAAAACACTTTTTTATTTTGTGCTGATAATTATAAATTGTTTAAAAAGAAATAGGTACTTTTTTTTAAAAAAATGTATTTAATTTTTTAGGTATCTTTGAAGATGGATCAGATTTGTTCACTTTTGCCGGGAGGAAATGAACCGATAGAAGGCACGTATGACGAGTATGTAGATAGTGTAGATTATGAAGACGAAATTGAAGAAGTTTTTACCAATAGTAATATGACTACTTTAACAAGTGCTAATAATGTGAGAACTCTACCTCAACCAACTCCAAATATCGCCACTCCACTTACAGTGGAAGTAGATCCAGTATGTTTATTATTAAACTTTATGTTTTATTTATTATAATTATATTTTTTTAGATCTGCTGGGCTACGGAAATTAACAATCCAGATTTTCTTATTAAAACCGGCCCTGGTTTAGACACATGTATTCCCAAACCCAGTAAGTTTTAAAGAACTTTTTGGAAATAAAGAAATGCAAAATAAAGTCAATTATTGTTTTTGGAAAAAGAGTGTACTTTAATGTGTGGATAAAAACGTTTGTTTTTTACTACATCATTTCAAAATAAAGGGTGGACAAGAAAAACAAATACAGGGTGGACCAAATTGGACACTATCCTATATAGATAGACAAAACTAATATCGGTGTTTGGAGCTCAATTTGTATCAAAAACATAATGGCAACAACCGCACATCGATATCTGTTACCGTTTCGGAGTTACGGGGTGTTTTTCAAAAATGTGTATTTTTAACAAATTGCTGTAACTTTTTTACTATGGAAAATTTTATATTTGTACAAAAACATTTCCAAAGCACCTTTTTACGTAGAATTTAATGGTTTAAGTATATTTTTTTTAAATTAATTATTTAAGATATCATTATTTTTTTATCTGAGACACCCCGTATATTTTTAATTTACCGGAAAGAACTTAAAATTACCTTTTCAAAAATAAATATAGCTCACTTGATTTTTCGAAATACAGAATTTTTTGCCACTTTTAAAATTAAAATACCGGGTGCGTGTCAAAATTGGCTCACAGCTATAACTTTTTTATTTTCTCATATAAAAAACGAGATTTGGTATGTTGGTATATGGCATAAATTAGGAATGATTGACGTATTCATTGTTTTCGGTCACTTTCTGTTTCACCGGAAATGACTACAACTTTTGATTTTTAAATGGCACCCTAGGTATATTTTTATTTTATTCGATAGAAAATAACACTCTGAAGAGAATGACATATCATATGTCAACTTTTGATATTTTCGCATATGGTTTATTTGAAATTATAACTTGCGGTTCGTAACGAAAATTTGACTCAAAATATCAAGAGTGTGGTATCAAATTATTCGTAAAAAAATGCTTTTTCCAAATATGCTAATGAGCTACCCTCTTTTCATTTGAAAATATTGAGATATGATTAAAAATACCATTTGGACATCTTTTAACCGGCCAGGACAAGACACTAAAAACATTAGACGATCAAATCTATTTTTCCAAGGCTCCTTGAATAAGAATTAGTGTTTTTAACAGTGCCATATTTAAAATAATATTTTTTATTAAGCTAGAATGTCAAAAGCTGACATATGATATTTCATTTCTATTCAGAATATCATTTTCTATCAAATAAAGTAAAAAAATACTGAGGGTGCCATTTAAAAATTAAAAGTTGTAGTCATTTCCGGTGAAACAGGAAGTGACCAAAAACAATTGAATATATCAATTAATCCCAATTTATGTCATATAGTAACATACCAAATCTCGTTGTTTTATCTAAAAAAATAAAAAAGTTATAGAGGACACTTTTGAGACGCACCCGGTATAATATTGAAATTAGAAAAAAAATAGAAAAATATTGGCTTTAATATTCCAAAATGTGTTTATACATTTATCGAATTCAGGGATATACTAAGCCCGTGCTCTGACAGAAAATTTTTATTTGGTTATTTGGCTCTCACATTCAATCAAATAGTTGATGAGTGCGGTTCCATAAGAAAACATTGGTTACAAACTTGGAATTAAATAGTCGGCCGACTAAAAATTCTCCGTCAACTAACGGGCTAAAAGTTATTTTTTACAAAAAAAAAATATTTTAGATTCAGAAAATACAGTCCTTTTGGATTCATTAGATTCCCCATTAAGACCAGCTACACCAGACTTAACTAATCCCCTTTCCGTAGAAAAGTACGAAGAGCATAAAGGACTTGCTGAAGAGTATTGGAAGGTAAGTAACCTAAAAAATGAAAGTCACTAAATTATTTACTAAACATAATCTAGGTATATTAACCTAGATTATGTTTAGCTTGACAAAAATCCAAATTAATTCTTTTTCGTATGTTTATCCACACATTGTTTTTCTCATTACATTTGTAGGGCTAATTTTAAATAATATAAACTTTTCCATTCGACTAGAGTAGTACTGAAAATTGATAGTAGTTTGCACCTTTCGTGGAGCGCAAAAGAGTGTCATTTACTCTCATCACTGCCATTTGAATTTTTTTCTACTCTTAATAATATATGAAAAAAAAAAGCTTGTAATTAACTTAGAAATTTATAATTTAGAATATCTGTCTTCTTAAAACTAAAAAAAATCTTTCTTGATATTACAGGACTGGTATAGAAATCAGTGCGACTCACTGCAAATAAAGGGCTATTTCAAAAAAGGGCAATTTGGGAAAGGTGATTTTTTTATACCTGTATCAACATACATTAGGAATTTTAATTTTGATAAATTAAAAGCGGAACTCCGTGGAACTCAAATACGTTTAAAATAAAGTATATGGATATTGAAGGATGGCTATAGAATTTCAATGCATTTCCTACATAAGTCTATCCTTGGTTTGTAGGAGGGTTGACTAAACAAGGATGAACCTATGTCTTGAACATTCGACTCGATTTTCTGTCCTCCTTCAATACTGGGACGTAAATCCTCTCATTGCTCTTATGGGGAGGCCGTCGTATATTTTATTTAAACGTATTTGGTGGAACTCATTACTATAACCACAGAATATCTAGCTACGCAACAGAAGCCTCGTTACATGTATAAAATCGTAGGTCTCAAAAGGAGAAGGCTTTAAAAGCCTTTCTCCAAATCAGATATTTTGATGCGGTAGTTTCACTACTACATAACAGAGGGCGATAAATTTAAAAGAAAACAGTTTTCTACAAACGAAATTTAAAAGAATTTTATGCAGTGTTGCCATTGTGTAATTTATATTGTAATATTTCCTGATAAAGCCTAGCTTCAAATTTGCTACATCATTTAAACATATTAAAATAGATTAGAGCTCTTTTTTCAAACGTTTAAGTATTTAACTCGCCATGTTAGTTGGAGTTAAATCTTACGAGCTGAATTAAAATAACTTCCTGACGTTTGATTCTAACTGAATCCTGAATTTTGATTGTAATTCGGCGACAATATAATAATTATTGTTCTACTATTATGACACCACTTCTTGACGTTCGATTGTGTTCATGATCGGGAAAAAATGATGATGTATGATCGGGAAAAAACGGCGTTAGCGATGGCTATGAAATGAAAATCGCTGTCATTTTATGTGTAAATTTATATGGGAAATGTCATCGATCGTCTTTTCCCAGCCAACTGGACGCCGTTTTTTTCGGTATCATACGGTATTTGATATATACTTGCGTATTTTTCATGACATTGCAATATTATGGTACCATGAAGCATATCAAGTGATACCGTAATATAGTACCATATTACGATACATGGCGTTCGATTGGGCTTAAACTTGGTATATTACGTATCTTCAGTGACATTGTAATATTATGGTACCATGAAGAATATCAAGAGGAACCATAATAGTACATAGAGGTACCATATACGATACCATTTCCTGGCGTGCGATTGGACTTATACTTGGTATAGTAGGTATCTTCGGTGACATTGTAATATGATGGTACTATGATGCATATAAAGTGGTACCTTAATATAGTACCATATTACGATACCACTTCCTGATGTTCAATTGGGCTCATATTTGATTATACTTGCGTATTTTTGATGACATTGCAATATTATGGTAGCATGAAGCATATCAAGGGGTACCATAATGTAGTACCATATTGCGATACCATTTCCTGGCGTTCGATTGGGCCCAAATTTGATATACTTGTGTTTCTTTATAAAGATTTGTTTAATTAATAATTTTAATTTATTTTATGAATTTTAATTTATTGTACGATGTCGTGACGGCAACTTTTATGCCTAACTAATATATTATTAATTGTACCTGTGTCACTTTTTAAAATCTACCTAGGTCTATATAAATAACGTGGCAAACAGAAAAAAATTGTCATTATAGTATTTTTTTAGTCAATTAACATTTTTTGTACTGCATTTTAATAGATCATTTCCATTATTATTAAACGTATATTTCATTACTAACGTTTCAGCATTAATAAATATCACTATCAATCGCCCTGTATATTATTAATTTTAAAGGTGGTTAAAGTTATTTTCTTAGTTAACATAATAAAGTAGTGTATATTAAAAATGTATTTTGAGAGCATATGATTTCTAATAATATACTTAAAATTAAAACTATTTTAAAAGCCAAACGAATAATTAATATAAGTGTATCTGACAAGAAACGAAGAATAGAAAGGAATTATTATACACCAGAAAAAGATTGGGATGCCAATTAAAGTCTGTTTGAATATTGGCAACTGTGCATTTTTAGCCGAGCTTCAAGGCCGTCGACGTGCCGTCGATCTACGTCGATCCACGTCGATCCAAAACCGAAAGTTGAAAATTTCCAATTATATTCTGATTACTTTGAATAAGAAGACTAAGGAAGGAGCATATCAAAAATCTTAGGTACACCGCGATGGGCCTCAAATATGGCCGACTTAAATTTTATCAGTGTCGTTCTAATTTTATTTAGAAAATGTAAAACTATGATGTAGGGTAGACGTGGGGTAGACTCAATAATTTGTTGTTTTATTTTACGTTGTGAATAAATGTTGGTAGTTATTAAAATTGTTATAAAAATATATAATTCTAATAAAAATAGATAAGTTATAATAAGTATTTATTAACACAAACATCCGATACGCTACTGAAGCAGGTAAGTCAAATTAACGTATCTAAATTCTTTGACATCTAATCATGATCTAATCTTTGACAAGTAATAAATAAAAGCTAAAATTCAAGAAAAATATATAATTTAGTTAATTTAAGTGAATTTCATAAATGATCGGTTTACTACACGTATGTATATTATATAGTCACTTACTAGCGAAAAGTTGTTCCATTATTTCACTCAATTTTTGCCGAGATCTACCGCACGCTACACAACCAACTATTAGAGTCTTTTTCGATAAATCGCGATAGCGTTACTGTTAATTTAAGTTCTGCCACAATTTCCATCTAGATTTACTACCTTTATACAACTATCAGTAGTAGAATAAATAATAAATAACATAAAATAAGCTCCGTAAAGACTGACAAATCCACAAAATTTCAAATCAAATTCAAATGTGTCAAATGAATCGTCAAACAGAACTGTCAAGGATCCCCACCCTAGAGAGCTTTTATGGTGACTTTTCCGCCCACCATGCATGAATACATGGATAGCATTATGCTCCTTCCTTAGTCTTCTTATTCAAAGTCTGATTATGATATTGTCGCGCCATCTAGTATTTTATTTGTGCAATTTTAGCTCTTTCATTTCGAGTATTTTTCTGTTGCGTAGCTAGATATTCTGTGCTATAACTCATTATGAAAACAAAATTATAAAAAAAACACAAAATAGTGTGTTTAAAATACATTTTTTTGACAAAAATCGAAATTACAAATATTTTTTTGTATGTTCATCCACTCACTGTTGTTCTTATAAAATGTGTGGACCTAATTTTAAATGTTATATTTTTTTTCCGAGCAACTATAACGGTGCAAACGCTACCGATAGTTGATGGAGTCCGCACTTTCTGGGGAGAGCGTTGCAGAAACGTGGAGCGCAAAAGAGTGTCATTTACACCCAGCACAGCCATTTGAAAATTAATTATCATTATGGATAATATAGCTACAGACATGTGGTACAATTAAATAACATAACAATATAATAAATTTGAACTGTTTTGAATGTAGATAATTAGGAATTAAAATATGGCTCTAAAAATATTAAATTGGTATTAATAAGTCTTTAATAAATAGTATACAGGGTGCTATAAATTCGAGGTACGAGCATTGGTATCTCTGTAACTGTAATAGATACGAACATGGTTAAATTGGGGTAAAGTTGCGCTTTAGGATGTTCACCAAGATGCCATCAAAAAAGTTTTAAAAATTTTAAGGATTGCTGAGTTATTTAGAAAAAACGGATTTTTTTGAAAATAAATTTTATTTTTTCCTGTCGTTACTTTTTAGAAAATTAAAAAACTAATTGCACATTCTCATAGCCACTTTATTAGATCTATCTGATGGTGTTTTTAGATTTTCAAATTAGCTCATAATTTGTGAGATACAGAGGCCAACTTAATTTTTTTAAACACGGACCTGCATTTTTTATTTCAGATTTTGAAAGAACTCGTTCTCTTGAGTACAATGGTATGCCACACTTTATACTTTTTTTTGTTTTGTGTGCCTTAACAACAAAAAAACTATTTAATTATTATTTAAAATAATTTCAAGTCCGACTCTGTTTTTTTTTAATTATTTAATCTGATTATATTAATCGCAACAATATTGATCAGCTCTAATTAACGTTGAATAAGGAAAATCGAGCCAATTGGAAGATTCAAATAAATTATATCCAGGTCAGCAATTTAAATATATTATTTTTAACTTTTTTTATTGTGAATATGAAATCTCAGTGTGCGATCTAATTATATGCGTAATATTCATCGTAGTTATTATAAATAAATCAACTTCTGCAAACTATTTTCTAATCTTCTAAATGTTCGAAAGGGTTACCGCCTTCCCTATTGCACAAATTTATTTTTCATTCAATTTTATTTATAGCTCTTTGAACTTTCCTCTTATACTTCCGAAAGCATTTTGTACTCTTTATTGTAAATGTTGAAATGTATTGATTTCACTTTTACAAATGACATGAAGTAATGTATTCATTTATATTATATATATGTATTATTTGTATATTAGTTTTTATTATTTTAATGTTTACCCCACGTCATTGTTAAGTTTGAAAGCTTATCAATATTGTAACGATGAATAGATTAAATATTTAAAAAAAGCAGAGCTGCACTTGAAATTAGTTTAAATAAATTGTGTTCAAATGTTCGAAACAAAAAAGTATTAAGTGTGGCATATCATTGTACTCAGGAGACTGAGTTCTCTCAAAATCTGAAATAAAAATGCAGGTCCACATTTAAAAAAATTAAGTTGGCCTCAGTATCTCACAAATTATCAGCTAATTTGAAAATCTAAAAATACTATCAGATAGCCCTTATAAAGTGGCTATGTGAATGTGCAATTAGTTTTTTGATTTTCTTAAAAGTAACGACAGGAAAAAATAAAATTAATTTTCAAAAAAATCCGTTTTTCCCAAAAAACTCAGCAATCCTTGAAATTTTTAAAACGTTTTTAATGGCATCTTGGTGAACATCCCAAAACTCAACTTGGCCCCAATTTAACCATGTTCGTATCTATTACGGTTACCGAGATACCAATGCTCGTACCTCGAATTTGTAGCACCCTGTATATAAATTGGATTGGTAATTTAATATTATTGGGTAAAATAATCAGTCCAATTACGCCAGTGTCATAAAGTGTTGAAAAACAAATGAAAGAACTGTATATTTCTTTTTCTGGTCGCCGGTAGTGCCGGTTACGATTCTTGTTTTTATGAAACGTAAATTGTGCATGTGGTTCGTTCAAATGAACGAATCGCAGGAGTCGATTCAATATGAGAAATTAAAAAGAATCGTAATGCTAATCACTATTGGATAATGAAGATGCTTGTAAAGTTTGTCGCATCTTGTATATTTTATTTTACAGATGCAAACAGAGCTAGTGTTGCTTCAGCAAAAGAAGCAGGAGCTTCTACATTTGCAAGTAGAAGACGAACAAAGACGAAGAAAATTGGTTGAGTTACAAAACGAAAAGGAATCTCTACAATTGATCAGAGATTTATTTAGACAGCAGAACGAAAATGGTGATATGCCAAGTCAAGCACGAGACTCTGGAGATGGATGGGTTATAGTGCCTAATGCAGAGAGACAATCATAACTTTAAATGCTATTTGGAATAAGAATTTTTTTGGAGTATTCGGATTTTTTCAAGTTTGATTGTATAAACTCGCGTTGTTATTATAATTAAGAAGTTTTCTCTTACTTTTAATTTAATAAGTATTAATGTGATACGGATTGCTCTTAGTTATAGGTTTTTTTATTTTGACTTTTTTTATGAAAATTTTAAATTGGGTAGTATAGTTTTCAAAATATTGTTTATGACTGTTGCATTGACGATTAAACGTTAAAGTTAAGATTTAATTTAAGCAGTTTGATAAGGACAATTCAGTAGAATTATCTATAATTAATTGTATATACTTCTATTTTCACTCAATATTTAAATATATGAAAATATGATTAAGTTAAAATTATATTTGCAGGAAGTAGATCAATAATAGATAAATTAATTTTGTATACATGTGTTTATATTTGTTAAATAAAAAAACCTTTATTGTATATCTAACTTACTTATTTTTCATACTGATGAGTATGGTTTCCCTAGTACAGCGGCAGAGGTGCAAGCTCACAGAAAACTTAAGTCTTTTTGATTTAAATCATTTTAATGACTTAAGTCATTTGATTTTAAATCATTCATATATTTATAAAGTAACCAAATTGTCTCCAAACTACATTCTGTGAAGCCGAGCCGGTGAAATGGGTATGTAAATCCTCTGAAAGAATTTGTATATATGATATAAGTCGCTTAGTTAGGCCTGCTCAAGCGTAGTGCGCAAGCCTGGATTTTGAATTATCGATGGGAAAACTAGACCAATAAGAGACTAGCACACCAGCTGTTCATTCTTACGGCCTCCTCTATAAAACCGTCCCAGATACTGGCTTTTGTCAAAGCCCTGGGACTGTATGATGAGTTATGACTCAAGAAAGGGGGACACAATGGATCTGTAAGGTCGCAGTGATTAACCCCCCTCCCACTCATTCTAATTCTAATTCTACGGCTTCGTCCAACTTAGTACGACTTTCGTTTGAGCTCCCCTTCGACAATTGGCTAATCCTCAGAGTAAGGGCTAATCGATAGTCGGAATTTTGGAGTTGCGCTATTGCGCCAGTGTCTGCCTAACAAATGAATTTATGTGAAATATACATGGACCGGTTATCTAGTTGTCTCTAACTCGGCTTCAACACATTGCAGAGATAGGCGATAATCTGTATATCTATACTAATATATAAAATCCTTAAGTGACTGACATACTGATTAATCACGATCCTGCCCAAACCACTCAACGTAAGAAGCTCAGTTTTGGCATACAGGATGATTTTAGGGTGTAGGGTTCGATAAGAAGGGATTTTTCGAAATTCCGGTTCCAAGGGGGTGAAACCACCCCTCAAATATTACAATATTTTTTATTTAAAAAACGATCAAGTTTCCGAAAAAACGCTTAAACACGTAATTTTAGTTTGTTTTTTTTACATATTTTAAGATTTTTTAAAAATGTATAGGTACAATGTGTTTCGAAAAATCTGGTCATTGATTAATCACGATCCTGCTTAAAACGCTTGACGTAAAAAGCTGATTTTTGGAAAACGGATTGACTTTAGGGTGTAGAGGTTCGATAAGAGGGGATTTTTCGAAACTCAAATTCTAAAGGGGTGAAACCACCCCTCAAATATTAGAATATTTTTTATTTAAAAACCGGTGAGTTTTTCGGAAAAACTCTTAAACACGTATATTTTATTTTGTAGTTTTCCATATTTTAAGATTTTTTTGAGAGTTTCATAAAATATGACCATTGAGTAATCACGATTCTGTTTAAACTGCTTGACGTTTAAGCTGATTTTTGGCAAACGGCTTGGCGGTGGGGTGTAGAGGTTCGATAAGGAGGGGCTTATCGAATCTCAAATTCCAAGAGGGTGAAAACGCCCCTCAAATATTAAATATTTGTTATTTAAAAAACGGTTAGTCTTTCGGAAAAACGCTTGGACACGCATAATTTATTTTGTTTTTTACATATTTTGAAATTTTTAAAAAAATCACACAGGGTGTTCCAAAAAGTTGGGTAATTGATTAACCACGATTCTGCTTAAACTGCTTGACGTAAAAAGCTTATTTTTGGCAAACGGATTTTTCGAAAGTCAAATTCCAACGAGATGAAACTACCCCTCAATTACCAAATTATATAATAATATCGCCATATTCTTTTTTCTCATGCTGACATAAATGTGAGAAAATTTTATCCAGTTTGTATGTTAATGGAAATTCTCGCTTTGCTTTATCATCACCATTACAAATGATTAATTCGACACGAACGAAGTCGCTCGTACACGCTAGTAAAATATATAAAAAACTTAATGTGTTAAAGAAATTGGATCCAGTTCGTGTGATTTGCATTAAAAAAAAATACAATTTTATTGTCAATGATATACAGTGTGTCTACGAAATAAGTTGACACGAAGAGGAAAAAATAAGTTACTTTTATTTTAAGACAACAAGTCAAATAACCACCCGATGTAACCACCCGGTATAAGATCCGGCGCGGCGGCAATTCGCGGCAATTAATTTATATGCAATGTACTTTAAGCAACAAGTATTATTATGCCGTTTAAGAGGATTTGAAAGGGAAAGTAGTTAAAAGTCTTAAAGAGTGACAAGCAAAAATGTAAAAATACTATTTTTGTTGCCTTCAAATAAATTGCCATAAACTAATACTATGTATTGGCAACATTAATAGTAAGGTTTAATTAAGTGCAAAAAAGAAAAAACAGTTCTTTTTACCTTCCTTTCGAACGTCCATTACAGAAAAGGCAACATCTTTTATCAATTTTAATAAAATAAGTAATTAATTGGCGTTATCTGAAAACTGTTTACGTCAGCTTGATACCAGTAGCAAAAATGTGACATTTCTAATAAAAAAGCGCTACACTAGGCTTACTGGATTTTGTTATTTATTATGTATCGTTTACAGGGGAATATAAGAAAAGTAATTAGGAACAGTCGTTTCATGCAAACATTTTGAAATTAATATTTCTAAGTAATGACCTATCTGGGAACCACTGTGCGTTGTAGAGATAGGCGATGATCTATATATAGTTTATATGTATATGAAGTCATTTTTCGCAAGCTGACTTCAGTGGCGGCTCGTAACCCGTGTGACTGGGTAGGCGACAAAATTTTAGTTGCGTCTATTTGACCCCCCCTAATTTACATAATACCCCAGCCCAGTTTGTAAATATATGTTATCTCTGGGTTAAAAACATAGCTCAAAAATATTTAGGACAAAACTAAAGCAAAAATAACAGCATTCAACGTAATGACATAATGATTGACCTAATGTACAGGGTGGTCGGAATTGGTCTGTTTTAACAGAGAAAACCTATTTCCTGACTAGTTAGAGCAAAACCGACATATATGTCATGGGTTTGATTTCTGAGACACGTTTAATAACATAAACCGCCTGTTGATATTTTCACTGCCAACTGAGATACGGGGTGTTTTTGAATTTTTTACTATTTTGAAAATTGCCCATAATTTTTGTATTTCGCGCAATAATAACATTCTGTAAAGACGTTCTTAAGGCACTTTTTTAAGCACAATCCAGTAGCGTAGTCAGTTTTTTTCTATGCTTGCTCTTTTTGTCAGAAATAATAAAAAATATAATTTGTTAAATGGAAATCATAGTTGGCATCATGAACTTAAAAAAAATGCTGGCATTTAACCATTTCGAACGATATAAAGTTATGGATACCTATTTCTAAGAATGAAAGAAAATATTAGATTTTTATTTATTGTTATTAGGTTTTTCATATTTGTATCGAAGTGTGCCTTGATTTTCTGTTGACCTAGTTGTCTAATTATTTTTTATCGCAATTTAATATTGTATATTATTATTTATCTGCGTAATTAAAGACTTTTGAAAAGGTAAATTAACATGCGATATTAGTTTTAGTAGTTACAATTGAAATCTATACAATAAACAAAGAACAAAGCTAAAAAGCGTATTTTTTGAGCAACGAATATAGTTTTCTAAAAAAAATTATTAAGATTTTCAAACTGAGTACCTCTTTGTTGAATACATAATAAACATCTTTTGCGCACAGAGTTACAGCGATTTATTAGGCGAACTGTTGTAATAAGTCCAAAAGCTTGCCTCGTTCAATGATTCTCCTCTTATAATATAAGGTCTTTTAATTTCCCCCATAAAAAAGTCGAAAGAAGTTAAATCACAGGACCTAGCAGGTCAAGATATGGGGCCCTTTGTTCCAATCCGATTCTCTCTAAATTCTCCATTTAATGGCTTTTTAATTGTAATTGGTAAAACTAATATAGAATGTTGATTTTTCTTTTCAAAAGTCTTTAATTTTGCAGATAAATAATAATATAGAATATTAAATTGCGATAAAATATAATATTAGGCAACTAGATCAACATTAAATCAAGGCCCGCTTCGATACAAAGATAAAAAACCCTAATATTTCTCTCATTCTTAGAAATAAATACCCATAACTTTATATCGTTGGAAAGGGTTAAACATCAACATTTTTTTAAGTTCATAGCCAACTATGATTTCCATTTAAATAATTATATTTTTTATTATTTCGGACAAAAAGAGCAAGTATAGAAAAAAACTGACTACGCCACTGGATTGTGCTTAACTTAAAGTGCCTTAAGAAAGTCTTTACAGAATTTGATTATTCGGCAAAATAAGAAAATTATGGGCAATTTTCAAAATGGTAAAAAATTCAAAAAGACCCCGTATCTCAGTTGGCAGTGAGAATATCAACAGGCGGTTTATGACATTAAACGAGTCTCAGAAATCGAGCCCATGACATCTACGTCGGTTTTGCTCTATCTAGTCAGGAAATAGGTTTTCTCTGTTAAAACAGACCAATTTCGACCACTCTGTACAAGTATAGTTTTTATTAATCTATTTTATCTATTTTTTTATCTAGTACTCGGATCCGCAAGAGATAAATAAAAGTAATTATTGAGACATATGAGTACCTATCTGCAAACCTTATCTCTAAATGTATAACAATGATATCTAATATTTCATAAAATAAAATTCGAAAAGATATTTGACTTAGCCGCTTTTATTAACATATCGAATTGAAATAGCACAGATACTTTTCTGTAATATCTGTTGTATCGTCTTCTTGCACCGAATAAAATAACGCGCTTTTTTATTTCGGATTTTTTTATTTCTGTGGCATGTTCTGAAATACAACGGGTTATATCATTTTTAATAATCTCGAACAAACCCGAAAAATGTTTCCAATTTGCTTTAAACGTTTTTTGAATTTTCATATAAAAGTTTTAAATGCTACGTATAATCTTAGCGTATAATGAATCATATGAAATATCCCCTTAACGAAATGTGATATATCTTCTTATGAAATATCCGGAATATCCCCTCAACATCTCAGCCTACCGAGCCTCCACGACTTCATGCGAAGGC